CATAACTATTAGCTCTAAGGCTAACATCATAAATATTAGCTCTGGGGTTAACACGAAAGCTGAGTTGTTTCTCCATTCTGCTCTCTGACAACATACTCATAACACAAGAAATTAAAGGGTTGAACGTCCAATAACATTCAAAATTAATGTTCAAGCTGAACAGAGCTTGTTCCGAAGCAACCTGGGTACAACATTTACCCAGAATGCATTGCAACATAAATAAAATGGCAAAGTCCATGTGTCAATAATTTTAAATAATTAAAGAATAAAAATAACGGTCATCAGTATTTTTCGGCCTTGTTTTTTATTTTATTTTTTTAATCTGAAGTAATTGTTCCAACTAGCCTGAAATCCCTTCAAAAAGATATAATTTCTTTAATGAACCTTCATCACTCCCTTATCTCTAAAACATGTCACTATGGTACCAACCAAGGGGCCAACCAGTAAAGTTTTATTTAGACTGTTGGCACCACCTTGCAATAAGGAAACCATTCAAAATGATTTCTTGAATTAAGAGCAAAACGCTTATTTGTTTTTAAAAGCTTCCTCTCTCGCTGTGCGATAAAATTAAGCCCTTGTTTTATTGATATAATTTATATCCAGACGTCGTACATTTCTGAAAACTTGAATATAATGATGGAAATACAACTAAAAGAGAACATTTGTGTTTATTTTTAAGGGGTTTCTTGGGCCTCCAGGTGTTCCAGGTGTTGACGGACTGAAGGTAAGGATTTTATTTATTGTATGTAAGCAGGTTAGTCGATTGAGTTCTTGTTTACGACGGCCTGGCCAAGAAGCAGCAACAAGGGGACTAGATGCATAAAATCGTGAAGTGTGCACTTAACGGTTGTACAAATAAAAACTCATCTCCATATTTATTGTACAAACTATCGGATCACCAGAGTAGATTAAAAGCAGGTACACTGATCAGAAACTGATCAGAAATCTGATCATACGGAGCAGCTAACCGAACAGCGCCTAATTTTCGAGACGGAACAATTTAAACTTGCCTTTTTTCTTCCCCTGTTGCGGAACCAAAAGGGGGACTTGGAAATACCCTTCATCCGTCCGTCCAGGCGTTCGTAAATGTTGTGAGCATAATGGCTTGGAAAAACAAGTGAGGTACCGACTTCCGTTTTGGTGTGTGGCTGCACCTAGGCGTACGAAATGTCAAAAACTGTGTTGCCACGTCAAAATTCAATATGGCCACCGCCATATATATTGGTAAACAAACCACCCTTTCATTTGAGGAAACTATGCTTTCTAGTTTTTATTTTACAATGTTTAAAAGTCTGTGATGGACTTGCGACCTGTCCGGGGTGTACCCCGCCCCTCGCACAGTGATTGCTGGACATGGGCACCGGCGACCCCCGTGACCCAAAATGGACGAAGCGGGTAAAAGATAATGGATGGATGTTTAAAAGTAAAGTTTCCTCAAATGAGGAAACTGTCATTTTTAAACATTTATATTTAAATGTTTAATGTATAAACATTTATAAACTATCATCTGGCCATGTTTGGGATGGCCAAATATTGATCTTTGATGCGCAAGGCCACCATTGTCCACCCCCCTGGCTCTGCCATTGTGCCTAATGGTGGATAAAGTTGCTCCATCCACTTGCCAGGATCTGTCACTCTGGCAAGCAAAGAAAAACATTACCTTTATTCTTCTACAGATTTTAACTCCTACCCACTTCAGTATCTTGCACCAAAAACATCAACGTTTACTTGCATTCCTTGTTCAATTCCAGTTCAGGAAAATAATCTAAAACACTACAAAAATTCACTCTTTAAAACCTCCAACAATGGGGGACAATGGCCTAACGCTTGTTCAGATCAGTAAAACACTTTAGCTTCTTTTTAAGGGATGTTCTTGTCTGTATAAACTTGTAATCTTGTAACATTTCTTTCTGAACCTGCGTAGCTTCCCTCAAAAAGCAGCGGTACATCAAACTTGTGAAAGCTAATTTCCGCGCACGCCTGGTAGCTCAAAAATCCAACATGAGTTCTCAGTATTCTTCCTGGCCGTGAAGCACCTTTTCATTCTGGCCATTTAAAACTTTTCTTATATTTTGGAGAATCCGCTCTGGGCTGCATCATTTTCAAGCCTCAACCTCTGAAGTCTGGTTTTGGACGTCTTTGAATCTGTTCTTGCGATGAGTTCATTTTTGCCGTTCGCTCTTGCGCCAAATAAAGAAGACACAGTGCAGGTGCTTGACAAAAATGGAAAAAGATTATTTTATTATTATTCCAGAACAAGGCTTGTGTGACAAGAATGAATGAGGAGATAACTCAAGAGGCGCCACTTTTCTAAACTCAAGCGTGGATTCATGTGGAAATGAGAGCAGAGGCGTGTGTGGCTATAATAAGAACCAGAGTAAAGAAGCTGCGTTTGAGTGTGAAAAGCCGTGCTAACTCTGGAAACAGCTTTGATTCCATACTTGTGAAAGGAGCAGGGCCTGCCAGCGACCATGAAATAGAAACTCCAGTGCTGTGCAATCGGAGTTATAAAACAGTCTGTTATGGTATGTAAGTCTCATTCATGCAGAAAGCTGAGCTCCGAGGCAGTCAAAGCAGGTTGACTGTCAGATATCATACTAATCTCACAGTGAAATCCACCCCCCCCAAAAAATAATAGTGGGGGACGATCAGGAATGCAAACCTTATCAGCCTGAGCTCAGGAGTTTTTAATCAGTCTTAGACATCACTGTGGCAGAAAAGCAGCATCATCATTATTACACCAATGACTCCCATATGTGAGCTGATGAATGATATGATCTCTGCTGTGTTGGGTGGAAGGTTCCCACATGGATGATGAGAAACCCAGAAAAAACATTAACAAATGTATTAGTATGGTTTATTAAAATAAAAATAAAACAACAGTAGCAGTTTTTCTTATTGTTTGGGTAACTCCGATGGCAGGCATTGTAATTGGATTTGCAAACTGTTACCATTTTTAAATTGTAAACCCTTTTCCCCAAGCGGACATTAAAACATATATTTAATTATAATATTCTAGATTTGCATATCACTTTATATTTTATTGTATCTAAATGCTTTATATAGTGCATCATATAGTAAAAAAAAACTTGTTAAACCATGCATCATATCTTACTAAAAAGTATTGTACTGTGTATCATATTATACCTACATGTATTGTATCATGTATCAAATTGTACAGTAATGAATCGTATCAAATATCATATAGTACATGATGTATCATATCAAATATTATATATTACCATAATGTATCATATCACATATCATATAGTACCATAATGTATCATATCAAATATCATATAGTACA